TCAAGCCCAGGCTTCTACCTTCTGTGGCATCCATCAGCTTCTCCTGCCTTCTGCAGTGTTTCTGCATGTGATCCTCGTCAGTTCTGTCTGTCTTGATCATGACACAGATTGATTACTACATCTGCAGGAGAGATGACCCCTGTGTTTCTGGCCCACCTCTCTGCAAGGTTGGGAGCAGGCCACCATAACCAGGTGAATACCCCTTATTATCTGACATTTGTGAAGGTGTGTCTAGATACATATTCAGTAGTTTGTTGTATTTCTTTTTTTTCTTCAGAAAATCTTTTATGAGCCCTTTAAACCTGTTTCCTCTTATCCTTTTTTTTTTTGGGGGGGGGGTTGGGGGCAAGCCAGTGAACCATGGCTCATGTTAAGGTTGTATAAACTCCTTCACTAAATGAGTGGAAGTGGTTGACTCAGTTCTGTGATTTGCTTTTGTGTGATCTGTTTCTGGTAAGCAGTGATTTTTTTCCCCTTTTAATTCTAGTCTGTTGTCTGCATATTTACATAACAGTCTTCTTTTGTTTTCTAAAAGTACAAAAGGCCAGAGAAGAGACTGGAAAGCCATGAGGAATGAAACCTGGGAAATGTCAAGTACACATCAGCAGCTGGGGGACAGGGTGGACCCAGAGACATTCAGACAGTCCGCGGTAGCTCTTGAACACTGCTGTCATTGAGGATGAATGGGAGTGACATCATCTCTCCTGATGCAGCAGGGAAAATGAGATATTCCATAGGAGAAATGTTGTAAATCCTTGCATTTTATATTCAGCATCAATATGTTCATTTATTTATTTAAGAATATTTTTTAAAAATTACCTTCTTTGAATTTTAAAAAAAAATCTGTTTGGGGCAGAATATTCTGATCATATTCATTTTGATAGGTGCATGTGTGTGTTAACATTTTTGGAAAATAGTCGAGTACACTAAGAAAACAGGATTCATCCTTCCTTCAGTAACAATAGGAACATTTTATGTGCCCCTCAGTAAGCGTCTGTTTAAGTGTGCACGTTTTTTGTTTGCTTGCTTCTAGGGTTAAATGGCCTCAAACTAGTCAAGTTTCTTGCGTCCTTTTGGCTTTTGAAATAATGTTTCTGGCAACTCTCTTACTGTGAGTTGTCAGCAGTTGTTTTTGAATGCTGCTGGGTCATGACTCTAATAGTAGGCTTCTCTTCCACTGTATTTACTCCTCTCCTGCCCTGCACCCTGACTTAGTTAGCTATTCCTACTTTACTATGAGCTGGTTAACACCTAACTACATTTATAAACATATTAAATTAATTAATAAAGGGATTATGAAAGATTTTTTTTTCAATAAAATACTATGTAGTGTTTTAAAACAGTAACAAACTTGATTCTATGTATTGTACTTGAAAATCAGTCACATTTACACACTCACTTCTTATGCTGGATTTTCTAATACTAAATTCTTATTTATTCCCTTGTTCTCAGCAATTATCCAGATAATCGAGATCATGTCTTATTGCTTTTCATTTTTTCTTTATACATATAAAAGTTAAATTTTTATACCAATTATTTTCTTTTCAAATCAAATACTACCTTAGGCATACATTTGTTTACTTAAAATAGTATATATATATATATATATATATATATATATATATATATATATTTATTTATTTATTAATAATTTATATGGAATGACAATTTTAAAATTATGTTAACTTTATGCCATATAATCTTATTTATTTGAATAACATGGAGAAAAATCCAATCTGAATTAGCAAAAAGCAAGATATAGAGTTATTTGAACAGTAGGTAGATATTTTATTACCCTTGGGTCTCTGAGCTAAGCAATGCTATAAAATATTGGTGTTTTTACTACCACATTTTTTTTCTCTCATCAGTATTACCCTGTTTCCCCGAAAATAAGACAGTGTCTCATATTAATTTTTTTCTCCTAAAGTTGCGCTAGGTCTTATTTTCAGGGGATGTCTTACCTTTTCATGCGCTAGGTCTTATTTTCGGAGGACATCTTATTTTCAGGGAAACACGGTATTACATTAAGTAATATGTGGAAACAAAGACAACATAGTCTGGTTTTGGAGGTTGTGTGAATGAATAAAATAAGAATGACATAATTAGCATATAATTATATATGCTGTAGATAGATAAATAAATCTGTAATTTATATGTAGACTAGAGGCCAGTGCATAACATTCGTGCACTGGGGAGGGGTGACTGCCTGCACCCTTCACAGTCTGAGACCCCTTGGGAGATGTCCGCCTGCCAGCTTAGGCCTGCTCCTGCCATGGGAAGCAGGCCTAAGCCAACAGTCAGACATCCCCCAAAGGGTCCTTAGTGCTTCTGCAAAGGCAGGAGAGGCTCCTGCCACTACTGCTGTGCTCACCAGCCATAAACCCAGCTCTGGCTGAGTGGCACTCCCCCTGTGGGAGTGCACTGACCACCAGGAGGCAGCTCCTCTATTGAGCATCTGCCCCCTGGTGGTCAGTGCACATCATAGAGACTGGTCAATTTATATATTAGCCTTTTATTATATAGGGTATGCAATCTCTATATAGGTATATGGTCCATTATGACTCATAAAATTTTCAACTGAATTCTATTCTTTTAGTTGGTTGAATATTTCCCGTTTTTCATAGTTAATAATCATAATTCAGCTTATGGCCACATCATCTCAAATTATAAAAATATAAAGTTTTTTATTGCTGACAATCTTTGCTTCTCTCCCCTTCCCCATCCACCTTTTCTGTTCTTTATTAATCAAACCCTTGTTTATGAGTCGGACTTACTCTGCTGTGGGGCTGGGGAGCTGTGAAACAGAATGGGTCTCCTCCATCAAGCCCATGACATCAGGGCCATACTTCTAAATATGGAAACTCACCCCAAGCATACATTTCTTTTGCATCATCCTCAAAATAAAGGTGGCAGAAATATGGGAAGAAAAATTGGAAAATCTTCTAGAACATATTGCATCCCCAATTGAAGAAATATTAAGAATCCAGTCAAATGATCTTGCCATTTTGCCCAAAACACAAAATTGAGATGCCCAGTGATGGCTCTTTTGCAGTGGCATAGGTTGCCTTCCTATTCACATACGCCCCAGGCTATGCTCTCTGTCTTGGGGGAATTCCCATCCACAGGATTCCAGTGTTTGTGGTAGTGTGGACTCCTATTCCTTAAGGTCATGATCCATAATTCCTCATCTCTATCCCACAACCTCATATTAGCTTTTGAAACACTTTTAGGATATGTTCTCCAAGGAAATAACCTCCGCGTTAGATGTTCTTGGGGCAGTGCCAGAGTTTCTCTACTGTTTTCTGTGAAGGCCACTCAGACATCTTCTTAGGCTAATTCCCACCAAGATGATGTATTTCCCACATTTACTCAGTGTTCATTCTCTTTCAGCAGAGCAAAACTGTACATTATTGATTAAGCAAGCATCCTAACCCAGCTGTTTGATCTGGTGTTCTCTGACTTCTCTTCTCCAGAGGGTAACTGGTCCAGAACCTTCTTTTTAAAATAATTTAATTTTTATCGCTTCTGAGAGAGAAAAATCACAAATTTGTTGTTCTACTTACTTATGCATTCATTGGTTGATTCTTATCTTTGCCCTGACTGGGGTTTTACCCACAATCTTGGCATGTTGGGATGGTGCTCTAACCAACTGAGCTACCCGGCCAGGGTTTCTACATCACGTTCTTACATAGCCCTTTCATATCTTCACAAGGGGAATGTAAAAAACAAGCAAACAAACAAAGCAAAACAAAACAAACAAAAACCACATGGGGTTTTATCTCATGGTTTATCACAGCTATAATACAAATGTAGAAGCTCTGATTTATTAAATATTCTTGTTCAGAACATTGCAAATTACTTTACAAACATGACTGGTTCATTCCTTTCTTATCATCTATGGCCTTACACAAAAGCCGAGCAGAGTTCCTGTGAAATAAAGAATATACATCCATGGCAACCTTACGCATTAGTGTAAAACAAAGCCTATCTTTCTATACAATATAAGAAACAGGCAGTCGAAAGTTTTTAACGCCCTGGGCCTTTGGGAAGAAACTAAACAATTCATTGCTAACCTAGTTTTCCCAAGATGTTGCTTCTTCCTTTCACTGACTGACTTATTCCTTGTGTACCAGACTATGCCAGCCCCTGCTCAACTGGGAAATCCAGTACCATTTTCATGGACATTATTGAACTTTAACATTGTCTTACAAGTGTGCCCTCCCTTCAGTGTTGGAAAGTATACACTATCATTTTACACCTAGTGAATTAGAACCTGCCAGTTCTTCCTTACAGTCAGAAAGTCGGTGGTCAGTTATCTATTTTAACTCGGGTTAGTTGTTGATGTTACTATATTTAAACACCTGTATTTCTCTCCTCAGAAACTACCGATAGTCTTATTGTGATTGTTAGACTGCAAAAGATGTCCCACATTATATTTCTGTCACACTCCGGGCAGTGTTTTCTGCCATGCACAGAACCCACACCAATCTCTTGGGGTTCTGGGTTTCAAACCACATTTGACCTTTGAGATCTAAGTTAATGTATTATTGGCAAAAGAAAATGTATTATTAAGTAAAATAGGATTAGAGAGGCTTATAATAAAGACTTGTAACACTTCTTGGACCTCAGATATGTCTTACAGAACAAAATGTTTATGAGGTAAGTGTAAATGAATCAGAGACATACGGATCAAATTTCCCTTAAAATGCAAAAGGACTGAACCCAGAGTATTTGAAATGCATTTTAAGAGACTTGACAAACCCAAACCCAAACCGTGACTAGATTTCCCCTTTGCTGATCTCTTTTATTCCCTCAGTATCTCAATTGAGAGGTCAGTGGTTAAAAAATGGGAGACAAAAGTCCTAAGGTTTAGTATTTAAAAGGGCTTTGTGTCATGCTGTTATGTAACCAGAATGGGGAGTAAGTATTTGGCTTTGAAGAGTGCCTCTGCCCCTGTGATTTTCCATCTCTCATGCTTCCCTCTATCATTGTTTTCTCAGGTTCGCACCTTCTGCTCCATCTCCTCACCACATCAGTCCCCGGCGAGTCCCAGCTCCTTCTTCCCTAATGCAGAGGACACAGCCTCCCCAGGCCCAGCAGGCCTCAGGGCCGCACCTGAAGAATTACCAGCCAGAAACAGACTCTTTTCAACCAAATGGAATCCACGTCCATGGTAAGCCAGGAACAATCAGTCCCTTGAGTTTTAAAAAGTGATGTTGCTTTTAATCAAGTCTTAGTTACCAGTCGTGGGTTTTAAATGTTCTGTTCTACACCAAGCCTTGGCTTTTAGGAATGCCCTCTAAAATTTCACACTTAATCAGCTTGAAATCTTATAGGCTTTTCTTGGCTTTGGCCTTAAGAAGGTATGACTTATGACACCCGAGAGTGGTCAGCCTAAGGTGATGGTCCATTTATTGACCCACACTTTAACACTTCATGGATAGGCCTTAACAGTGACATCTTTTTTTTATAAACAATAAACAGTCGTGTAAAATGGAGTCCTTTTGCCCATGTGCAAGTCTTTGCCCCTATTCCCATATGCCTAGCTCCTCTCCACCCTGCAGGTGAAATGACATCTCCTCTCTGAAGCCTTCCCTGATCTCCTAGCTGGACTTTTTGTTTTGTCTTCTGGTTCTAAACCGTGTTTTCATATCACCTGTATCTCAAACAGTGCTTAGGCTCTCTCTCCCTTGTGATTTACTTTTCTGTGAGTAAAAGATGTCTTCCCTACTACTGTGGAGACTCCCCTCTGAGGTCAGAATTTTCTGGCCCATTGTTATTTCTCTTAGCGAACTTAGCACGTGTCCTAAACACACACAGATACTTGATACTTGATAGGTGGATGAAGAAAGAAGAGGAGGGAAGGAAGACAAGAGAAATCACGATGGTTTTCAAAATGTGCAGGTCTTATCTTTAACTCAGAACATACATGGAGAACGAAGTCTCGCTGAATTTCTTTTCTCTATTTAAACCCATTTTGCTGACTCAAACAGATATCTTAAGTAGACATCCATAGAAATGTGAATTGTCAAATCGTTGAAACTCACACTATACATAGCCTTTTATTTCCCAAGGACATTCGGACCTTCTTTTATAAGCAGGAGAGATACTGTCCATTTAGACAGTGTTTTAACTTCTGAAAAATATGGTCGTTTTCACCTGCCTCTTGCTGATTCCTAATTTGCTTTATATGAGTTGTTACTTGAAGTTAATGGGTGGTGTCCCTAAGCAAACTTAAAGTGATATTAAGATTGAGTGTGCTTAAGTGTGAGTGATTTCCCAAGATAGCAGAATAAAGCAGCTCTAAGGAGCTAGGGTTGGGCAAGAACTTCAATGTAAGGGGAGGGACAGCTGAAGAGGAGTCAATGTGGAGACAGTGGCAGGCTGGACAGAGGAAATGACCTTGCAAAGCCTCTGGCTCAGCACTCCATCCATTTCTTCTCCCCTCTCTCCAAGCGTAGTCACACAAATCCACTATTCACCAACAAAACTTGGGCTCCCATCATTCTTTGGGCCTGTGGTAAATTTCTTCTAAAGCTTTAGTTATGTATTTATTCAACAAGAAAATTAAAAAGAAATACATTTTTTAATCGATTTTAGAGAGGAAGGGAGAGGGAGAGAAAGATAGAAACATTAATGATGAGAGAGAATCATTGATCCATTGATCAGCTGCCTTCTGCATAACCCACTGGGGATTGAGCCCTGACTGGGAATCCAATTGTGACCTCCTGATTCATAGGTTGATACTCAACCACTGAGCCACACTGTCCAGGCAAGAAATATTTCTTGAGTGCTTACTAGGTGCAAAGCAATGTGTGTGTGAGAAATACAGAGCACTCTCCTTCCTTTTGGGAGGGGCCTCCCAGCTCAGATGAGGAGCTTATCTAAAAGGGGAGATCCAGGTCCCCTATGGTGTGAAGCCACCCTCACCTGCAGGCAGGAGGTGGACAGCATGAGTGTGGGCTTTTGTGGGACATAGAATTAGTCATTTTTTTAAGACACACAATTTTAACCTTCACTTTAACATCACTGAAATCTGAACAGATCTCAGTCAGTGGCACAATATAGTAGGCAATGATTTTTCTTTCTTATGCTTTGTAGAATTATGGAGCCTTTCACAGTCAATCCTGTCAGGGTTCCAGTGACATGCAGCAAAACACACTTTGATTACAACTCTGAAGCATATTTTAAAAATTCAAAATTTAACCCATGTGTAGAAGAAAAATTAGAAGAAAATTCTCCAAAACATTAACAGTTCTTTTCATCACAGTGGTAGGATAATAGGTGATTTTTTTCCTCTTTGTATTTTTTCATTTTTCATTTTTACTTTCTACAGAAATTTTAAAAGGAATTTGGGGATTAAACAATTTGAATTCAAATACCAGATGACTGTGTGACTCTGGACAAATTATTGAGCCTCAGTTTACATTCACTAGATGAGGAGAGCCTTACCTACCTTCTCTTATCAGGTGTTATGAGAATTCAACAAGAAATTTGATCTTCTTCCTTTTAATCTCTTAGTTTCTTTATTAGATCTTTGAGGATAGGGATAATTTTGTAGCTCTAGGGCAAGCATAATACTTGCTGCAAAGTAGGCACTTAGTAAATATTTACTGAATAGGTGAATAATACAGATGAATAATGAAACCAGGGACACAGAAAATGGATCTACCTTATTATTTTGCCCTGCAGCTTGGCACAAGGCTCTTCCCCCACATTTCTCTTTTTTAGTTGTCAACTTGAATGTTTTTTAACTTTAACTTTTTCATTGTTAAAATTCCCATGGTCAATGAGAAACTGCTCACAGCAGCCCTAAAAAGAAACACATATGACAAGCCTTTCTAGAAAAAATCAGAATATAGTTATGCAAATTGGGAAATCTGGACTTCCTCTCAGAAGATCAGCAAATGGCTGAGTTTGCAAAGGGTGTATCCGTGCGTTATCTCCTGGGCCACTGCTAGGCACTTAAGGGATAAGGATCCAGATGCACAGGTACTTCCTCCTTAAAGTATTTTTTCTGGAACTGTTTGGGGTTTTTTTTTTTTTTTTTTTTTGGAATTTCCTAGGCACAGGTATTTCTCATCTACTCCTCCTTAGGGTAAAGACCAAATTGATCAAATAGTTTTCAAGTGGGTGAATCAGTGCTAGGAATAAGAGAAGAGAGACTTCTAAATGAGTTGCCTTTGTTGGCCACACCTTTCAGCTTTACTTGGACTAGTGGGCTGGATAGCATTTTACAGCTTCTTAGTAACAAGGAACTTCAGCCCCAAATATAACTAGATTTTTAAAGTGCCAAGCAGTGCCAGGGTTGTTAACATGATAGCTATAGTGAGTTTTTATTGTCTCTTTTATGAAATGCATGGCTTTAATCAACATCATCACCCCCATCATCTCATTATTCTCTGCAGTAGGTAGAGGTCAGAGGAAAATGTCATCACTGTACTAATATTTTTATAGAGATGGGGACTGATACATAGAAGAGTATGAAATGTCTAGGCATTGCTGCCTTAGCAAAAGCAAAGGCATCTTTAGAAAGAGGTCTACATTTTCTAGCCATGTACTTAATCTATGTGTTTCTAAGTCAAAAGAAACAAAATACATATATATTTATATTTTTCCACGGGGGGAAATATCTGTGTATGTAGATGCTGTTGCATTACATAGATCCATGAAAGGTGAGAACTCCGAGGGCCTTTGTTTTTACATATAGAGAAGGGAGTGAGGTCCATTGAGTTTTCTTCATGCCAGACTAATTTAAATAGAGCTTAGATGTTGTGTGTTCAATGTATATTTTTATTGAGACATGTTTTGTAAAAGGCATAATTTGAAAATATTAATAGCACCACTTTTTCAAGTTTTCTCACCTAGTGAGTGACCTAAGACCAGGGCACCATTTTGTTGGTTGTGCATCCACTTTATTCATTCATATTGCTTTCATTAGTAACGTGGATAAGGTGTCACTGTTTTTAATGTTTGCACGTTGAAAGCATCCATGGGTCTCTGTTTGGGTAGTATCTCTAAGACAACTTCTTGGTACATCTTAGTCTTTTATTTTAGATGTAAACACAAGAACAGCTCTTTCCAATCATGTAAGCTTGTTCTTCAGCCTTTTCTTTCTCTTTAGGACTGTTCTCTTGTCTGGGCAAGCTTCAGAATCTTGCTGGGATTAGTTGCCTGAGAGTCGATGTTTGTACATTTTGTTGTGGGGCTAATGGATAATGTCTTTGTAAATGCTCTATTCACGCCAGGCTGTGAGAATGCCCTGGGAATGTCTAGAACAGCATTTTCTGAACTCATCAAGGAGAGGCCAAGTTCAGTTCAGCAAGTGTGTGTTGGTCACCCACTTTGTGCCAGGCAAACATGAATGCACTGGGATACATGCAATAACCGAAGGTATCAGAGGAAGGTACCAGAGAAGGAGTCAGAGAGGTAACTCTTGAATAGGGTTTTAAAGATAAATAATTCATTGAGTAGGCCAAGTGGAGAGAGGCATTCCAAGCAGGGGGTAGCAAAGTGCACAGGCAAGGACACAAATGACAACGTTGTGTGTGCCTAGAGAGAAGAGTGAAGGGAAATTTGTGTCTGGTTGGAATGCACAGGTTAAGTTGTGGGACAGAGGGAGAGGAGGCTGGGGAATCAGCAAGGCCAGCTTTAGGGCCATACTCAGAGTAATGCTGTTGAGTGAAGAAGCTAGCCTGGTATTTTAGGAAAGTCAGAAATGGTATTGTGTAGGGGATAGAATGGAAGAGGTAGGAACATTACATCCTGACTGTTGAGATTTTATTGGACTGCATGTATAGAACACCCAAACAATAGTTCAGCTCACTCTGATACAACTGGTAAATAGAGAAATAAATGATACCAGAATAATGTGGAATTAAGTTTGTGCTCAAAGTCTTTCCTAAGCAAGACAAGCTGGAATAGTGAGAGAAGAAAATGAAAGTCCTCAGCCGAGCTGCTGCACAGGCAGGAGCCCTGTCAGCTCTCTTTAAATAAAATGTGAAGGGCATCACCCCAGGGGCTCTCTCCTCAGAGAGCTGCACACCTGGCCTTGCACAGACCTCAGCCAATGGCAGATCACAGTCCTTCCTAAGTGCTGGTCTCTTACCTGTTGTCTCAGTTACTGCAAGCCAGCATTTTCAGTTGGCATTTCTGTGCATTTTTAATAACCAC